CGCGCAAACTTCGCGAGCACCCAGTAGACCGAGAACAATTTCGAGAGTCTGCCGCGACTCGAATTCAATCAGTTTGCACCGGAGACGAGAACGTTCGACAAAGCATGCTAATGTTCGTAATTTTCTACTTGGTTTCGCGTCGCGAAATATTCCCTGGCTTCTCCATTCGAGATTTTAGAAGAGGCGACCTGCGCGCCGTTGCTCGAACGCGATACGTCGAATCGGAAATTGAGAGGGTCAACGATTCGTGAACCCTCCGTCTGATTCCATCGCGAGGGTGTCCGGTCTTTTCCCGTCGTATACGCGCGCACATAGACGCACGTAGTAAGTATAATTTCCGTGTCCAGCGGCAAAGGGGTCCACGGGAGCCTATCGGAGTGGGGGTATAGCATGGTCGCGCAGTGGGGGTATAGCGAAGAAGTTGTGTCAACGATCGAAGAACTTATGATAGAAATGTGATAAAGCGATGATCTTGCAGAAGATCGTTGCAGAACAAGAGAGAAATACAGAGAATGTAATACGAACATACTTTAACCTCGAAAATTTAATGTTAAACTTGAAATATTCGAATAAAATTGCGATGTATCAGATAACGTGTACGCTTGGATTTTCTTTTTTATGACATACCGTACATCATTTCCCGTAGATTTTGACACGCTGATCTCAAATCCGGTCGCAAAATTTATCCACCACTTTGAAACGTCCTTCGAAATATTGGACAAATCGGAAGTTGGAATGTTTCAAGAATATTTCGAGTTTGACATAAATTCACGAGGTTAAAGAATGTTCATGCTATTTTTTCTCCGTTCCGCAACGTTTCAGCTTCAACGTAAAAAAGAAGAGATCATCGTTTTATCTCGTTTCCATCGAAAGTTCTTCGATTTTCACGCAATTTCCGTCACTGCGATCCATTGCGCGTTGCACCGAATCGCATTCGAAAAAGCGAAACGGGTCGAAAACAAACTGAAGAAACATACTTTTTCCTAGAGCGACGGTTCTGCTCGTTGCGCATACTTTTCTCGGCGCTTGGACACGATATTTGGCCTCGTGTCGCGACGATCGCGAGTCCCGTTGTCCCACGAGAAGAAAATCGGACGCTCTCGATCGCCTGATCTTACAATCCCGGTCGAAGTCTCGGTAAATCCAGTCCTAGCGAATCGACGATGTATATCCTGCTCGGTCGCGTTCGAAATCGGAACAATTGCTTCCGTTTAACGCGGAGACATCGGGGCCCGAGAATCGTATCGGCAGACCTAATCGTCCCACACGACCGAGGCGGTCGTTGTCGTCGCACGATTCCTTCCGATTTCCATCTTCGACCGATTCTTGATCACGATACGACGCCGACATACGTTCCTTGACACTGCGAAGCGAAACAACGAGGAAGCCTACATCACGAGTAGGTGGTAGTTTACTCGAGGACGATGCCATGCGAACTGACCGGCTGACCGATTACGTCGCGCCGCCTGCAATTGCGGCGGCAGTCCACAATCGTCGGCGCTGACCGGGGCTCGTTATCTCGGACCTTATCAACCCTAGCACCTGATCTTCCGTTATCCCTGCTTCGTCTTCGAGCAAACCGATCGATCGCGTTCCGTGATTTCTGCGAGCAAGATCGAAGATGCGCCGTCTAGGGTAAGTGTAGGTATCACTGCGGTTTCTCAATGAAGGAGAACTTTGGACAGAGAAAATAAGACCTTTTACGCCAATAAATTGACAAGTTCAGCTATATCTATTATTCTTTAATTCATTTATAATTATTCTATTATTCTTTAATTAACTCTGAATATTTACATTTCCCAAAATATTGAATATCGCTGAAAGCACGAATTTCACTAAAAAGAGTAACGTAAAGAAATCATACGTGTGCATATACAGGGTGTCCCAAAAATGTCTCGCAATCCGGAAATGGCGGGTTCCTCGGATCATTCGAAGCAACTTCTTCCTTTACAAGAATGTTCTCCGAGGCGCCGTTAACGAGATATTAACGAAAAACAGCGACCAATAAGAATCGAGTACGGCTGACGCGAGGCGGCCCAGTCGACCAGCGCGCGAAGCCCGGTTCCGCTCGTTGGCTCGGTCGCCTCGCGCCAGCCGAGCTCGTCTCTCTATATCATATATATAATATATATATTATATTAATTATATTATTATATATTAATATTATATATTAATTATATTAGTATATTAATATATTATAATATTATATATATATAATAGATTAATTATTAATTACCAAAATATAAATCAACGTTCACAGCGCCGTTACGAGTATTTCATACGACTCAACGTTTTCATAAGCTTCCGAATATCAAAAGTCTATAAATGAATTGAAACTGCGATTTTGCTGTCACTTGTACGTCATAAAGACTTTATTACTTCTATAGAATACCGCAGAATTCGGTGCGTCTGCAGTAATGCCCACACTTATTCCACCCGGATCGAGTAAACAGTGCACGCTGCCGCGCGCAAGAAACGCGACTAGAACGTCAAGTTATCGGGAAAGCGAGCGAATTCGGGAAACGCGTTCGAAATCTCGTTGAAAAAGCGAGACGATCGTTGTACGAGAGGATGCCGTCAGCGCAACAGGTCTCAAGGATGCGGCCAACTTTCCGGAACGATCGCAGATAGAATACCTTGCGTAATCCGTCGAGGCTCATCCTTCGTGCCGGTACGAAGCTCTCCATCTACGCTGGAAAATCCTGTCCGAAGGACACACCAGAGAGTAAACAAGACAAGGATGATGAACGACGGATCGGTCGCATCGGCTGAAATTTAACCCCACGACATCCCGAAATCGCGGGGTCACGACGATCGACTGAAGTCTGTCCTCGGACGATCGAGCTCGCAAATTCNGGTTCCTCGGATCATTCGAAGCAACTTCTTCCTTTACAAGAATGTTCTCCGAGGCGCCGTTAACGAGATATTAACGAAAAACAGCGACCAATAAGAATCGAGTACGGCTGACGCGAGGCGGCCCAGTCGACCAGCGCGCGAAGCCCGGTTCCGCTCGTTGGCTCGGTCGCCTCGCGCCAGCCGAGCTCGTCTCTCTATATCATATATATAATATATATATTATATTAATTATATTATTATATATTAATATTATATATTAATTATATTAGTATATTAATATATTATAATATTATATATATATAATAGATTAATTATTAATTACCAAAATATAAATCAACGTTCACAGCGCCGTTACGAGTATTTCATACGACTCAACGTTTTCATAAGCTTCCGAATATCAAAAGTCTATAAATGAATTGAAACTGCGATTTTGCTGTCACTTGTACGTCATAAAGACTTTATTACTTCTATAGAATACCGCAGAATTCGGTGCGTCTGCAGTAATGCCCACACTTATTCCACCCGGATCGAGTAAACAGTGCACGCTGCCGCGCGCAAGAAACGCGACTAGAACGTCAAGTTATCGGGAAAGCGAGCGAATTCGGGAAACGCGTTCGAAATCTCGTTGAAAAAGCGAGACGATCGTTGTACGAGAGGATGCCGTCAGCGCAACAGGTCTCAAGGATGCGGCCAACTTTCCGGAACGATCGCAGATAGAATACCTTGCGTAATCCGTCGAGGCTCATCCTTCGTGCCGGTACGAAGCTCTCCATCTACGCTGGAAAATCCTGTCCGAAGGACACACCAGAGAGTAAACAAGACAAGGATGATGAACGACGGATCGGTCGCATCGGCTGAAATTTAACCCCACGACATCCCGAAATCGCGGGGTCACGACGATCGACTGAAGTCTGTCCTCGGACGATCGAGCTCGCAAATTCCACTCGACTCTTGTTAATGTTTTTCGCGATATTCGATACTCGAGAATTTGGGTGAACTTCTAGCCCGTTAATATAATTCATTCATTTATTTAATTATTTATTTATTTGTTTTATGGACAAAGTTCTTTTACGTTAAGTGATATAAAGAATTTTATATAAAAATGAGAGTGGCGTATAAATTAATTACAAGATGTATACAATTTTAATGATTGACTCTGGGCGAGCTTAATAAAAACGATTTAAAAGAGATTCGCGATCCATTGAAGAGATTACTGTCTCTGCAATGGATAATTTGAGGTTGAGAACATCTATTTATAAACTTTCCGGCGACCGGTACGGGATGATGTAAAAGTGATACTTTGCTCCCAAGTGTTTTGCAGGTAGATGTAACTTAAGGAGCTACAAGATCGTAGGAAATACAATAGGATTATTGATCATTTTAAATAGACGAATAATTTCTGAAGATTTCTGCGATTTCCTACACAAAATCAGTGCAATCGTCGGGTAACTATTCCTGAATAAAAAATGAAATTAATAACATTTGCTTGCAATCGCCCGCAAAGGATCGATTGCAAAAAACAACTTGGAGCCTATATAAAAGAAAGAAGAACCCAATAAGCGGTAGATTCGAACGACATATTGGTCTCGCGGAGATCGTGGCTCGAAGAACCGAGGCATCGATCAGGAGAACACTATCTCGGCCGAGCCGTGAAGTGAAAGTACGTATCGACGGATTCTCAGCCGAACGCGGCTGAGAATGAAAGTTGTTGCCTTATCGGAGACCGTCAAGGCTGCCGATACAGTTGAGGATGTTTACACAGACCGGGTGTCAAAAAAAAAAAGGTAACTACAAGAGACAAAACGAGTTCGAGCCGCGGCGAAGGCGCACGCGTAATTCATAATTGTGTTTCGGCCGAGGAACAGAGGGAACGAACGTTTATTACCTGTCGTTATCCACGATTATCCCGAGTCGCGCGAGGTCATGCTGACGCGATGCAAAGAGCAAAAGAGGCGCGTGTCACTGGAACGCAATTGCATCGAAATACTCGCCGCTGTGTTTCCGCAGCGCATGCTATGCGCTACGAGCAAATAGCTCGAATAAATTATCCGATATTCAACGGTAGATAATTGTATGTATCGCGAACGGATCGTCGGCCACCGCGTAGAAACGATTCCTCGCGTTTGTTCGACGAACGAAATTACCTGTTGCGGATGCCACGTGTGTTGGAAGAAATTCTTGAAGTACCTCATAGCGGACCGATTTTCCTCGATATCGGCGATCACCGCATCGTAGTATACTTTCGCTTCAGATGTTACGTGCCGATCCGTGCCGGAGTACAATTTATTTATTTAGGTTTCATCGTCCTTTTTCTTGCCAAAGATCTTCTCCCATCGGCGGATGTGTTTTTGCTTTTGCCAGGATACTGGCGCGCGCACCGACTCGGTCACGAAACCGCGATAAAATCGATTCGATCGGACGAAATCAACAGTGCACACACTCGAAAGATTCGGTCGACGTTGACGGCTTCCGATCGACTTCCATCGACGTCCGGATCGCGGACCATGAATCACGGGATCCTGGATCGGCGAGCGAAAGTTTTGAAGCGTGCGCCACGGTGCACGCTCGACAACTAATGAAGTTCGGAGTCCGATCGCGGCGAGACGGAGCACGTTCGCCGTAAATGTCACCTGCTCGTTACCTATCCGCGGTTACGCTTGTTACTCGCGCGTACAAACGAATTTGCAGGCAGCCAGCGACGTCGTCCCTTTCGAATTACTGAGAATTTATTTACTTTCGATCTAACAGCTAGATTGCCCAAGGAAGTCGTTTCGACTGCTTTTCAATTTCAATTGGAAAAAAGATTATGTATATAGTGATACAATTTCTTAGAATTTTGTGACCTTTTGTACAACATATAAATGCGTTTATTAATACATGTAGTTATATCATATATTATATATATATATGACGTTATTAATATATATACATATTATAATAATAGATAGATAAAGATAATTAATAATAAAGATAATATATATATATTATTATGTATATTATATATATTATATATTATAATTATACCTATATTGCCCAAAAGCAGTCGTTTTGACTGCTCGGGAAATTTTAAATAATCGAATGATTCTTATTATTGAACTGAGTAAATTTCTTATATGACCAGTTTGGCTCTGTATTGAAATAACATTCTTCATTTTTCTCGATTACCGTTACATGATAACATACAAGTACATAATAAATCGTCGATTTGGGCATATACTAGATAAGTTGCAGTTGCTCAATAAGCTAAAGTAGTACTCGTTATACGTATCTTAAATTTCTTTTATTGTTAATATTTACTAATAACCTGTTATATAACTGTAAATAATATAAAAAAATATTAGAAATTAATTTTAAACAAATTTCTTTACACATTAGTTATTCTTCCACAATGCAGTCATTTTGACTGCTTTTGGGCAATATAGGTATATACTGAGTCCGTTACAAATATAATTGTAAATATTATACACGTGAGATGCTTACGGTGATGCAAAAAGATTGGCAAAGTAAAATAAACATTAGCGTGTGACACAAAGTAAAAAAAATAAATATTGACATTATCCCAAAAGGTTTAACGGGTTTGCAAACAAATAAATAAATTATTCCGAGATGCACGATTCGATGCGAAAGAAACATTTATCTTTCGGATATGGAAATTGATTTTCCTATCGATATGTCGTATGAATCGAAATTCCTACAAAGGCACTTTCGACGCAGAAGAATCGAATCGTCTTGCTTCGTGAGAGAAATTATAATCGGTCGCTTCGAAAAAAAATCTGTGGAACGGACACATAGATTTCTCCAGTTCGATACTCACGGAGACGGTAACCACATTCTATGCGGACGATAAATGTACTCTGGGACAATAGGGTAACGAGACGTCGAAATTGTTTCCGCGACAAATGTCACGACAAACCATGCACGGTAGATCCGATCAGAAACTCTTTATTTCGTCATTTACGTATGTACACCTTTCTTTCTTCGAAGCCGTAATCCTAGAAATTAAATAATAATTTTTCTCATATGTCCAACGATCGAGTAAACAATTATTTCTTGATTCCGAAATTCTCGAACGAAAGTTTATCTATCTCCCGTTCGTTTCGAAACTCCGCTTTGTCGATTGCTGATTGAGGACTTCCGGTACTGCGGAGCCAGTGTTTCCTGGAACAGAAGCATGCGCGTTCGTAGCAGTTTAGCGCGGTGTTTCGCACGCTGCTTTATCGACATTCGATAATAATACACTTCTGCTTACATTTCATCGATCTTTGCCTTCTCTCCCTCGAGGCGACCAACCACGGTACCCTGGCTCGTGTTCATACACCATCCTCTTAAACCTAACTCTTTGCCGCGTTGTTGGGTATACTAAATTCGTCACAGAACAATGTATGTACTATGAACTATGTACTATGCACGATTGAAGTACCGTCAAGATTTTGAGAACAGCCGATTGTAGGAAACTAATTTGCCGGCGCATCGAAAATCTATTTGTGTCGTTAAATCATGTATAGCGTGGACGAAGTACAAGAATAAATCCAACATCGTCTTACGAATGCTCGAGACTTGGAATCTCGAGTCGAGAATAGGGCAATCGCTGCAGGGCAAACGTATTCGTCCGCTGTCTGCTCTTATAGCTGCTTTACAGCATCGTTTACGAAGAAGATCGTTATATAATAATAATATTATAATAAATAATAATATATAGTATATATAATATATAATATATTAATATAATAAAATATTATTATAATATATAATATATAAATAATAATATATAATAAACGTTATATTTTCAACGAAATAGCGATCGATTCTGCTGAGTAAATCGTGTTACAAAAATATTTATTGACATTTGGATTTACTCTTGTACCTTGTACAGCGTGTATCTGTGTCGTATTCTCGTGTGCCGTGTGCATAGTCGCGTGTCGCGTCGTATATCGTGTGTCCATGCATCGGTATTATCGGTGACCAAACGATTGCGTCGACACCCGACAGATGTCGTTTCTGTCCCGAGGAAGCCTCGTGAATTTTCGCTGACTCGTTTCTCCGTGTTTACGATTTATCTATCTATCGACATTTTACCATACGCGTTACTTACTCACCTTCCTGAAAAATACACCTGCGCGAAGGAAGACACGTGATTAGAGTCGTCATCGACGTGTACGCGACATAAGAAACTGGTCCTACTTACCTTGCACCCTGCCGAACACCTCGAAGTCGACGCCGACCAATTTCGACATTTTCGGACCGTTATAATCGCGCTGCTTAAATCTCCGATGACGGAACCACGGGGAGGCGAGGAGTGAATTTTTAAATGTCCCTCGACCAACGTTGGAACATCGTTCGAAGTGGCAAACTGTATGGTGCGTCGTTGATTTGCGAAACAAAAGTCAACTAGATGTCGCCATGCGAGGTTATATCAGCTGTTCCGGTTAGTTAATACCGGTATCCTTGGAAACTATTTTCGGTACGTTTTAAAGAGAATCGAACTCGATTTACGGCCGATGCAGGCTCGATGCGAGCCGTGTACCTTTCGAATCTTTCTCGGTGAAAGAATCCTTTCCACGCGCCGAAATACACGGTCGAACATTCAACGATAAGCACTCGTACAAAGTGACCCAATTCTACGCGTTAGTCGCATTTCGGTCGTTGCGCGCTACGTAGAAAACTAACCGAAGTACCACCACCGGTCCGCTTTCGGCACATTAATTCCGAATCTCGTTGCTGAAAATATGAAAAATACTAAAATCGTGCAAAAGGAAAATACGTACTACACACTATGAGGATCGTGAAACGCTCGAGATAAGGAGAGGACGCGCGGCACATACAGATTGACGCGTTAACCTGTCGTTTTCGATGTAAATTCGTCCGTCTTAGCAAACAAGAGATTAACGTGCTCGTTGTCCGCTCGGTAATTATTCGGTGGGATAATTGCTTGCGAGATAGAATAGGGATAATTGCTTGCGTATGAATAGGTTAAATTTAAAAATGAAATTCCTTCGGCACACGCCTGGTCTATCTAATCGCGGCTACGAGTGTACATGCATGCGTGTACATACAATAGGAAGATAGATAGATAGATATGTATATTAGTGCGGTAGGCACGGGCGCGGGCGCGCAGGTATTGGTCGATGTTCGGAAGCGCGCGCACGGGAGTGCCAGCAAAAAAACTCGCGAAGTACAGAGGCGTATAAGTTGTCCCCACCGCGGCCACCGCGGCCAGTCAGTCTCGAGCTTCGGCTAATACGCGTTCACGGTGGTGTTTGTACGGCGAGATCTCCTTGCTGGTTACACGCGAGATTGTACGGTCGCGCGAAAACCGATCCGAGACGAATCGAGTACAGTGATTCCGCGTCTGCACTGGTACACTACAGCTGGTGGCGCGCGTCGATTGTTCGAACTGTTCGAAGGAGAGGCCTGTTTCGGAACCGATCGGCATCCCCGCGCGCTATGCCAGACGATCGTCTTGGTTCTTCCGAGAGAAACGCGCGAGTCGGTGACGTTTGATCGATGACCGAATCGTTTGACGAGAAGACAAGAACGTTGTTCGATTCGCCGTTCCGCGGGTTCCTGTGTATGCGAACGCGAACGACAACGACGTCGACGACGACGACGGAGACAGCAACGGCAACGGGAACGCCAACGCACACGGGTGTCGGTCGATGAGGTTAGGGTGGCGTACTATTCGCGCGACGAAAATACGGATACGCGATGCGGCTCTGACAGTCGTGGTCGGTCCGATCGTGGTCGTTGCATCGTTGGTCACGCGTCCGGAGACAGAACGGTGTGTGCAGTGGTTGAGGCCGACACGACCGGCGGCCGCGGCTCTTTGACAGCGCACCGTTACAAGTGAGGTTAAACCACCACCACCACCACCACCACCGCGGGAGCTGGTGCATACCTGTGTGTCCGTACCGTGCATGCGTCCGTGCTTGCCTGCGTGCGTGCGTGCGTGCGCGCGTGCCTCGTGCTCTCGCGTGTGTGTGTGTACCCCGTACCTGTACATCTGACGTGCTGCGCACGGAGAGGACAACACTCGGCTCGAATACGATGACGGCGATGTTAGTGTCCGTGGCGGAGTTGTCGAACATTTTCTTCGTTCTCGCGTTGTCGATATGCTTCTGCGGATTATTCTTATTCATCATCAGGTACTCGTTTGCTGCTTCCTATTTCACCGACCGATATTTACACGGTAATCGCGTCGCCGGCACCGCGGGTCTAAACGCGGAATCGCGGTTTTTAGCGAGCGTTTAACAGAATTACAGCGAGATAATATCGTTATCGACGATTCGAATGGGCATCGAACGCGACGGAGAATGTCGTCCGCGTTTAACTCCGCGACCGTTTGTGTTTATTCGCTCGCATATTCATATTAAAAGTGCATAAAATCGTAAACGACCAGCGAATAGTTTCTGATCCGGATCGATCGATATTCGAACCAACAGCGTGCAATTTACACCGATCGTTAACCTTTTAGGCACGACGCGCCACTATAGTGGCTTCCGCGGATGTCATCTCTCTGAACGACGCGCCACTATAGTGGATTTCACGGATGTCATCTCTCTGAACGACGCGCCACTATAGTGGCTTGCTCTAGTAGCTCACTCGGTCATCGTTCGAACCAAATAATCGTCTTCGTATGCATTGTTTCGCACTTCTTTTGTCTTCGCATCGATTTACAATATACAGACTTATCTTAACGATATAACTGTATCTTAACAATATACAAACAGAATATACAGACATTCTGTACAGTGCATATCGGACTCTGCCGTCCAGAGAAATAGCCTCGCGCAGAATTCAGCCGTACCTAAAAGGTTAACGCGCAAGTAAACAAAAACATAATTCGATCGGAATAGGTTATAAGGTTCGTCCGACAGATTCCGGGTCCATTTTGAGTTTTCGCGCGTTCGCGGTAAAGTTGAATAGCAAAACGAATGGCAACAGATTCGTCGGGAAACTAGATTTAGATTTGAAAATGGAGTTTGATGGGGGAAGGGGCAAGATCTGGCATTCCATAGGGTTAACAACCTCGTCGGGGCGACAAAGAAAACCATCGAATCCCGAGTTCGACGCGTTCGTTTCTGGAAAGATGCGACACAGACGAAGGCTCGACGACCGGTTTACATCGGCGATAGTCTGTGTGACCCAGTGACTATGACCGCAAAGCTTCGCGCCATGATAGCGACGTTCGCGTATCCTCTCTGTCATCGATTGCCCGATCTGTTTTTATTGCTATATTTATTACGGATGCGCATACCTGCACACGCGTTATCGTTTTTGCGTTTTCGAATTGATTTTCCTCGTGCGAGAAAATAATTGCTGCCACAACACTGTCCGACAAAATCGAACTCTTTTTCTGGGTTCCTACTGCCACTATGAAATTCTCGTAGTGCTTCGCTCCCTGAACAAGAATCCGAAAACCGGAAAGTTCTTTGTTCAGCACGAAAGCTCTACCCAGGACAACTTTTCGTAAAAATACAAAAATATCGCGCAGAAACTGCTCGCGTCGACACTTTTTGAAACTTTGACGTCAATTCATTGCTATTTAGGACCGAAAACAATTAATAAATTGCATGCCACTATATTCGGGAAACTCTCCTCTATCTTTTGAGACTGATTAGAACTTTCTAGAGCGTTTGTACTTTTCGTGCGACACCTCATTTTTGTCGAAAATTTGGGGTTTTTACAAAAGTTCGTTTATTTAAAAAAGCGAGGGTGATGGAGCAATTCGGTTTTCGGATTCTTGTTCAGAGGGAGCGAAGCTCTACAAGAATTTCATAGTGGCCATAGGAACCCAGAAATCGTGTCGGACAGTGTAATCTGTGCGCGCATATAAGCTTTTACCGGTTCGACCCTGGCTGTCGCTGCAATTTGCGCTTTATTCGAAAGCAAGCTCCCGAAGGTCGTCGACATCCTGTATGAAAAACTGCGCAGTTCCAACGAACGAACGTCTTTGTGGCCAACTTTCTTTGTCTTCTTCGACTTCCCGAGATCGCGATCGATCTTTCTACTTCTCGGTTATCGGTCTCTTCACAGAATTCTCCAATTACATTTCGATACCTTAGAAACCGACCGATAAATTGTGCAACAATGCATTTATCATTCCGACGACTCATATTCGTGCCGCCCGATAAACGATGACGAATCGTTGCAGATAACAGGACGGATGTTAACGAAACGTTGCAATCTATCTGTAGTTTCTTCCAACGACAAAGTAATAAGATCCGATTCTGTTTCTTAGAAATGAATCGAAACGATCCAGCATCCGCAATGTTCCAAAGATTTTCGCGCTTCGCTTCGAGTGGCTCAGCAATCGCGTCGATTATGATCTTGGTTTTGGACAGCGAGCTCGGAAAGTCGCAAACGAGTCCTGTCGGAGAATTCACGCGGTTCCGTGTTCGCTTACGGCGAAGAGAATCGTCGCAGCCGACTCGTGTCTCGGCGCGGCGCGTTTCAAATAGGTCGACGTACGGTCGGATGTTTGTCCTAAAAAAAAAGACAGGCTGCGAGCGGGAGAGCGAGATAGAAAAAGCATCGAGGCTGATGCTCGGTTATCTCTGTGCAACGGGATTAGCGACACGACGTTACCACGTAGCACAGGGGTGTCAAACTCGCGCGGCCCGCGAGACCAAGCCTTAGTATGACACGGACTCCGTTTCAGTCAATTAGATTTGTACATTTTCGCGCGTACAATTTTGTTGGAATTTGTAATTGTTTATTTACTAATAATGCAATACAAATATGATACAGTGTTTAACAAAGCACCTAGCGGATATAAAGTGTACTTTGTGCGAAGAAGAGAGTAACTCTATGCGAAGTCGCGGAGATACTGTCCGACTGATCGTCTTCCAGGCTGACGAATGCCTCTGTCTCGCACTGGAACGTGCAGTCCTTTTATACTATTCCTTCGGAAGACCGGGCTTGTACCTTTATTTATTGCCCCTGTAGACACGTGTGTGTGTGCGAGTATCGTTGTATATACCAACAAATTTAACCCTTTTAGTGCCGGGCGAAAAAGAGGTGCTTATGCGAAGCTAACCGGCCGAATTTGACGATTTTACTAGGATTTGGAAAAAGGCTCATAAAAACGAAACGAAAAGCGATATTTACATAATTGAAAAAGCAGTGTATTAACCCCTTAATGCACAGTTGTTTTGAAAAAGGCCGGCCAAAAAGAATCAATTTTTTCAATGTAAAAAAACAGAATTTAGAACGTTGTCTTGGCAAGGAAATTACAAGAATACAAAAATAATCAAAATTTTTATTGCAATTATTTTGGATTTTGATAACACATCGCAGAAAATAGTCGAATATCGTAATATTACACGCACATCGACTTTTTTTATCTTTCTTTTCGAATTCCCATTTCAGAATAAACATTATTATCGGTAAAAATATTTATTTATACTTTTAAAACATAAATAATAACACAATACTAGTATTTATAATATTTATTATTGTATTTATATATATTATTATTTATATTTTATTTTACATTATATTTTAGTGAAATATATATTGAAAAATGAGCGAATCAGAATCTGAATATGAATACGCTGTCGGAAAGCGGCTCACAAGGAAAAGATAAGTCGTAAGTGATAAGTAGAAAAAGGATATGTAAGTTGAATAAGTAAGTGTTACAGCTTACAATCCCATGTAAATGATAAATGTCAATAAAACGACTGTTTTTTTCTGCTTTCACATTGTTATTTTCAATTCTCGATCGCATTCGAGTGTGAAAAATTACAGCAACATA